CATATGATGCAAGCGGTAGAGATAAACAACTCATTTTTTCATCTATCCAATATTTCTGCACAATGAGGCCTGTCTTCATTCATAACTTTTTCTGGTTGTGTTTGATAGCAGCCTGCTACGGAGCAGACGATAAATACGCAGTCATGTTGGTGCGCCCGGATATTCACTGTTTGTTAATTACAAGTCTGTCAATTCATCTCTACGTATGAAACAGTTTATCTTTTAAGTAATTTATGAAATGTTAAAAAATTTATGAAATAGTTGAATTTTTATATTTGCGTATTCTCTTCAAACAACTTCTATCTATTTTATAAAAAAGTTTGAATTGTAATGACCATCATACAAATTTCTTATTATGAGCAAATTGCTATGGTTTACTCATTATTAACAATACTTCTGATGAGCTTATTTTGTGCACACCAATTTCTTTGCCATTATATGTTAATAAGTTTAATTAAAACAATGAATGGCTAGCTAGTACAATTTCACGTGAACGTGCCACACAAATGTCAGGAAATGATTTACATTCGATTAATTTGTGCATATTAAATGGTTAAGTCTGGCTGGTGTATAAACACTGAAAAATAAAAGTTTCATGATTTATACATACGAAATGATTTTGCGGGTGTTAGTATAAAAATAATTTTCATAAATACTTAAGAAACCAGTCCAAGTGCTGGCGGACATTTATAGTTGAAGGTCAAACTTGAGGACTAACAGACTTTGTCAAGGTCATTGACATCCGTATTTACAATATTATGAGCATATTCAAATTGCTTTATATATCAGAATTCACGTTATGAAATAACATTTTAAATTTTTGTTGTTGTTCATGATAACAACAAAAACTTACAATATAGGTGGCCATTTAATGAATGTACGTTGGTCATTATTGTGACCGCTACACTCATCTTGTTGGTTCACAGGGGTGGAGTTTCTTATGAGAAATATATTTTAATAGTTAGAGTGTCAAATTGAATATAAAAACTTATATATACATTTATATAATATTATACATATATATATACATTTATATATAATTTTTTATTAATATTATCTAATTATGTATTTATATATTCAATGACTGACATATGCGATATTCTGATACGTGCATGTGCAATGTGCATTCATTGAAGCATAACAGTACATAATTAACCGATTGCATGTTTTAGCTTTTCATAGTATATATAGAGTAAATCGTACATAGTATATGTTTATGTTCATGCTTTTGTTTGATTCATTTTTGTTATTTTTTGAAAATAATAATAAAATTTTATTATTGCCATCCGATATAAAAAAATAAAGCCAAACACAAATCCACTTCCGAAATTAAGCGCCCACACATTCACATAGATTGAAACACGCACAGCACACACACACACACACACACACACACACACACACTGGTACACGAACACACACAAACACACACACGCACCCACACTAACACGTTAAACATCACGTACACACTGGCACACAGCAAATGCAATTATACAAATGTACGTACGTACTGCACATAGAGAAGATATATTAATATAGATTTATATTAGCATATACGGATGCGTGCGTGCGTGTCAGTTAAATATATATTGCATGGAATATGGTTGATGCAGGTTGGAAAGGAATTAAACGAAACATTTAGTTTGTGTTTTACATATTTTTATCTAATGCAAAAGTTCTTCATTTGTAGTTGTGGCTGATTTTAATCAGATTTTATTTAATTAGCGATCAGCATAGCGGTTGAAATTGATTTTGTACGGATATCAAATGTTACAACATCGCTCTAAATTATCATCATAATTTATATATAACCAGCATTTAAAAATTTTATTGTTGATCGTCCTCAGTCTAATAGAGTTTTTGTTGTTCAGTACGCAACTTAAACAAACAGGATTAACTAAATGCAGTGCACTAATTGACTTCACAGTTTCAGTGTGTTAGTTGACAGAGATAATCTTCCTACCTACCTACCTACCTACCTACCTACCTACCTACCTACCTACCTACCTACCTACCTACCTACCTACCTACCTACCTACCTACCTACCTACCTACCTACCTACCTACCTACCTACCTACCTACCTACACATGTGATATTTCCAACAAAAAATGTTAATTGCGATCGCTGGTAAAAATTTTAATTAATTTTTAAAATGATGCGAAAATTATTAGGCTTTGAAAGTTTCAAATTGTTTGTTGATACATAAACAGGTGATATTTTAATTTACAGCACATGATATTAAATAGCCAATTTAAACAACTTCAATTTTTCTACGAAAAAATTTTTTTAAATATAAAATTTTTATTCAATTATAAGTTTGTTAATAAATCTTAAAAAAATAAACGCCACAAAATAAAAACATAATTTGGCTGCAGATTAATCTACAAATCTTGAGGCCATCTTGAAAGGCTTTTTGTTGAAATCTGGCAGGCTGAACAATTAGCGACTCCGAGATTAAAAAGAAAAAAATTAAAAGAACGTTGAGAACGTGTGTGGACGGGTTGATGATGTTTTCCTTTCAGTCGGTCTATATCTTCCTCAGTATTGCTGCTGTTGAAGCTGCTGCGGCTTCGAACGGTGGAGGATTGAACATTGTTTTCAATGGAGGTAGGCAGTCAAGTTTTATTTCAAAATTTGCTGTGAAAAATTTTATTGCCCATTCAAATATTTTGCAATAAAAATTTTATTCACCTTCTTTTTTAAGTGTTTTTTCGCAAACGTAAACCGGAACTGAAACTGACTCATCACACACACACCCACACACACACCCACACACATACTCACACACATTCACACAGACGCTCACAGACATGGCATACATAATGTTATATAATTGAATTTATGAGTTTTAAGCAAGTTACAAGCCACTTATGTGCACTGTTAGATGGTTGTTATGACTCGTTAAGCTTTATGATCGTAGGTGAATAAATACTTCGTAGTACGCGTCTCAAACGTGTGCATGAATCTTCGCAAGTGAGCAGAATTTGTTAGTTTAAAGTTGCGTACGTATTTTTAAATATTAATTAATGATATTAATGATATATGATATATGATAGTAATGATATATGATATTATTAATTATCAATTAATGATATTTGTCAGAAAGTGATATGAGGCTGTCGATGCAAACGTTTAATAGCAGTCATTCTCAATTCGTCTTGTTTTGTTAAAAATTTGAATGTGCTGACATGATTTCGTGTATTATTATTCTTCATAACATGTTTGTGGTACCAAAAAATTCAATGTTTTTGTGCAATTTTGTGTCTATGCTCTGTATGTTAGTTTTCATATTTTTCCGTGACATTCCCAGTTTATTTTGTTTGCTTACGTACGTATTATTTTATCTCATATTAACCCATCATGTACTTACGTGTCTGACTGCATGTCTCAACTATCAGAAATTGTTTCATTTTCGTTTTGAACGTGTTTTTGTGTCTACGTTTGTCCGTGTTCGCGTTTGTTCAGGTTCATGTTTGTTAGTGTTCATATTTGTTCATTTTTATGTTTGTCGTGTTCATGTTCGTTCACGCCTATGTTTGAATGTTGAGAAGCGTGTTTGCAAGAATGTGTCATGTTGAATGATGGCACCCCAGAGTTCATGAATCAATATGTGAATGTAATTGATATCTTATGCAATACAATTATCGCTTTTTCATGATTGTTTTTCTTCTACTTTTGTTTTTGCTGATATGTTGTTGTCATTTTTTGCTTCTATTTTGTGTTGATGTTTTGTTGTTTGAATTACTCTGTTATCGTTTGAGGTAATTAGTTTTAGTAGCGTTTCAACCGTCAATAGTTTGTTATTCTTTGACTTTTTGTTTTGACAATTTCTTAGAAAACTGGAAGAGATTTCAGTTTCTTCCAATGTAGTTGTTTGTATTATCTGCTGCTGTTGTGTTATGACACGCAGTAGAGTTTTAATTAGTCTTGTATGCACATGTTGAATCTTCACGCCAGTACAAGGTTCGTGTGCTCTAATTGAAAACATTCCGACAAGCCTAACATACATTCATCAACAGATAGTTTTGATTCTATTTTCTTGTGAGAATAAAAAGTAATTATGTTGAAATGTTTTTAAAAATTGTAAAAATTTGCAATATTTTTTATTATGATAGAGAATACTTTATAACCAACATTAAAAGCAATTCATTTATTCACCTTGTCACAAAAGTAACTAAAATTATTAGTTCCAAAAATGCATATACATACAGTGGTATGATTGGTGAAACAATCATCATAACTCTTTTCTAAGTAATTCTCAGACACATACACATGCACACACACAACCACAAACAAACACACATGAACATTTTTTCACATACACACACACACAAACTCAGCGCATGTGGATATGCAGCACAAACATTGTTTGTAATAGGCGATATTTAGAATAAGGTGAAATTATTTCTTTGCTGATGAGGGCTATGAAAATGACGATGATGACGAACGTTAAAGTAATGCTGATGATGATGATGATGAGTGTGTGATGAATGATACGTAATCATCAGAAAACAAATACAACTATTAAAATGATAATAAAATGATATTGATAAGTTATGAGATGATGGTGAAGATGACGACGAATGTTAATGCAACATTATCATGTGATTATACAACATTATTTCATGGTTATACAACATTACCCCGTGGTTATACAACCTTATTTCATGGCTATACAACATTACTTTGTGGCTTTACAACATTATCTTACGTTTAACAACATTCTACTCAAACGAAATACCATACATTTTTGTTTATAATTTGCTTCTTGTTTTAATAACTTCACTTTTTCAAGCATACTAATTGAGAACGTGCATATTTCCAAGAGTTGTACTAAGGTTCAGAAGATATTTATTTGCCGTTGCATGTGTTATATTTTTAAGAAAAACAGAAAAGTTTTTTGCACAAAAATTTTTGACAATTTTAATATTTTTCAAATAATATTTATATTTAAAATACAAATGTATGGAAAAAATTTCATTGAAACATTTCAAAGAAATGAAGGCAAACAATAAAATGAGTGATTTCAAGGAAGATCTCGAACACTCGTGCAAGTTGCAGAAACTCACGTGCAACCGCAAGCACTCTCTGAGACATCATCAACAAAATGCACATTAAACGCTGCCACGTTACCGTCACGCTTGCGAACAAAAAAGAAGAAAAATTCGCGCCAGAAACCAATTTCGCTAATGTCGTCTGCCAAATTATTCATAAGTATTGAAAAATTCTCAGAAAATGCGATGCTTGTGAATTCGATCCGGCCAAATACGCAATCGGTATTGATGTTCTCGTTGCTGCTGTCATCGCTTGCTTTTGCGTATTCTGCTTTGGGTGTAAATTCGGTATGAGTTGGTTGGGTGTGAGTTGTGTTCGAGTTTGGTATGAATAAGTGTTGCCGGTTGTTTGAATATAAAAAAGTAATCCGGGGAAAAGGCGTGTGCTGTTGTGCCGAACTTATTACAAAGTGTTCGAGAGCGCGCGCATTTGATTGTGTACATAAATTTATATTGTACAAAATATATGGATGGATTAATTAATGGATTAATTGAAGTTGTAACATGACAACAAAATTCACGTAGTTGGCTTGACCTTATAAGGAACGTTGCGTTATGACATCACCATCTAACAAATTTTACGTCATCGTCGTCATTACTTTGTTTCCATTATCATAATTTTGTGATGTCATACATGGCATCATCAGAGAAAAAAATTTTGCCATGGATTTCATAAATGGATAAAAAATTTTCAATATTTTCATCGACATTATTATCATCATCATCATCAACGCTGACGTAAGAACATCATTATCATTGAAACAAACATTACAAGGTAGACGAAAATATCAAATATTGTCATCATTCACGTCATCCTCATCCACTTAGTCGTCATCGTTACTGTCATCATCACCATCTTCAATGTCAGATGTGCCATCAACATACGACAATCAAATTTCCATCACTCAAATTTCCAAAAAAAAAATTTATGGTATCCATCCCTACAACAAAAAAGCATCAAAAACCAATGAAAAAAGTGATCACATTAACAACAAAACCTCAACACATTAACAACAAAACCTCAACACTTTGACAGCGAAACTTCATTACATTAATTACCAAATATCAACACATCCAACCAAAACCAATAACGATTTCCGTTAACTTTTATTCTTCTGTCACCATCAGCAAAAACAAAATAATTGTTATGATTATTTTATATCATCACATTTTTTTGGTAAAACCATACAACAATAACCACAACAACAACAGCTATACACCGACGATTTAAATAAAAACACGAATTCATTGCTACTCCAAAAATTATGTATTTACAAAACCTGCGGACAAGATAGTAAACTTTCATAACCAACAGCAGTAGAAACAGCGAATTATCATTAACAATCATCTATCTGGTGGTGTGTGTATAGTATAGAGACAGGGCAATATTTACTTAGCGAATGACAAGCTTTCTATATGCTGGGCAGCCATTACAGAAACTGGCCTTATAAATATAAATAACATTCAGTTGTAAAAACAGCATTTTATCGTATCCATGCATTTGCCTAATAACAAAATGGAACATAGTGCCCTCTGTCGCCGATATATTTCTGTATACATTTTTTATGCCTACTACTAACTTGGGTTTTCTCTGCAAGTCAGTAGGTAGGTAGGTAGGTAGGTAGGTAGGTAGGTAGGTAGGTAGGTAGGTAGGTAGGTAGGTAGGTAGGTAGGGTAGGTAGGTAGGTAGGTAGGTATGTAGCTTGAAAGTTATTGTACAACAAAGTTACCACCATCATTGTTAATACATCAAAATTAATGCAATATTGAGTTTGTATTCATACTTTTATTCACACACACACACCCCCTTGTGCCGCTCCCACACTGGACCACCTGCTTCTGCTTCGCCGTTTTCTTTTGTCAACCAGAGCTGCGACGTATCGTATCGTGCCTGTTTAAAGGTGGAAACCGCCGCCTGTGAGTTCGATCTCCATTCCGTACGCTGATGAGCTTTAGTGCAGAATGTTTTTGGATCCATCCACATTTCTTCAAATTTTCCTTCAGACTGTCTTTATATCAACGAACCTGACCACTGACCACTTGCAAGACACACACACACACCACACACACCACACACACACACACACACACACACATCACACACACACATAGACAATTATAAACATTAACGCTGGCAACCTCCATCTTCTCAAGCAGCGAAGCACATCTACTCAATTTCATCCCTTATCAAACAACATCAACTCGCCTCGAGTAATTTTCTAAAAGTCATTTGTCAGTGAGGGTTTGCCAGGGAAGGAACTAACATTCGTATAATTGGAGTTTTTGTTAAAAAGGTTCTGCTGAGCTAGAGGGTGTGATTAAATGGATAATTTATTGGTGAACGAATGTCAGAAGCATTAAATGAATGTATATGAATGAACGAACGAATGAATGAATGAATGAATGAATGAATGAATGAATGAATGAATGAATGAATGAATGAATGAATGAATGAATGAATGAATGAATGAATGAATGAATGAATGAATGAATGAATGAATGAATGAATGAATGAATGAATGAATGAATGAATGAATGAATGAATGAATGAATGAATGAATGAATGAATGAATGAATGAATGAATGAATGAATTAATGAATTAATGAATTAATGAATGAATGAATTAATTAATGATTGATTGAATGTGAATAAACTAAACAACACACATCCCATGTTTACATAACGGCAAATCAAACTGATCATGTGTGCATCGATAACATAACCGCAATTAAATAATGAATCCATCATCATCTTCACAGAAGCTGTACGTACAGCTCACGGATGCTTACCGCAACTTTAACACTCGACATGGAAACAACGAACGACACACAAACAAACACACTTACATAAACAAACATAAATATTTAAAAAATGTACGTTAGTGTTTGTAGCACGGAGGTATTTTATCTTCTGGAATGTAGCAGTAGCATATTTGTAACGTAGTTCTTCTCCAGCCAGCCAGCCAGCCAGCATAGGGGTCTCACTGGGATGTAAAGGCATTAACGTTCTTGTAATGGAGTTTATTGCATCCGCTACTTAATTTGCGACTTTTTTTTCTTTGGCGTGTTGAAAGATTTAAGCGGAAATGTTTGTTTTTATTCTTTTTATTCCTTTGTTTCAGTTTTGGCGTCTAATAAAAAATAGTGTGAACAAATAAACTTGAAGACTTTTCTCTTTTCAATAGCATCCTCATTGATCTTCAAAAACTTTAAGATGTGTGGCTGATTACAAATCTTGTTACTGCTAGTATTTTTCCAGTTTTTGAGGATAATTTACGTTAGAATTTTATTTCAATTGCTTTTTTTATGTGAGAATAAAATTTTTCTCAAAACACAATTGCACAACATTCACATCATTTACAATTACATACAACAACTTAATTTACATTTAGACTTACAATGGAAAATAATACAATACGAAATTGGAGTGTTGAAACATTAGAAAAAAAACAACAAAACTTTATTCAAACACGTTATTCAACAACATCAAATCTGAAAGAATTAAACCACATTTGCACACACACAAACACACATGACCTTTTAAATCAACATCATCACAAACAGAGCAGATCCACAAAATGTTTTCATAAAATTGACAACATCAAAAGCAATGTCATTCTCAAACAAAAAAACAACATCACAGCCAACCAGACACAACGCCATTGAAAAATACAACAACGTAATCAACCAACACACCAACAAACAACGACATCAAATGAGCACAACCAACTACAAAAACAACACACGAACATAACAGGATTGAAGTTTATAAGTTGACCGCTGGCGTGGAAAGCAATAAAGAGTCACGCACCCTCCCACATTTTCATTCTCTCACATGCACTCTCCTACATTTTCATTCTCACAGAATTTCACTTCTCCTCCATGCACTTCTATATTTTCACTCTCTTCTAAATTACTTTGCACAAGTGGCTTCAATGCAACGAGATCGTGAAACAAATGTACTAAGCAGAAATTTTCATCAAATCAGAACCTTGTGGGATGTTTAAAATTCAAAAGTTCACCAAACAGTTCACTGTTCAAACCAATCGATAAACTACGTTAAAATTTATTATTTCTTGCAACAATAAAACACTTCTGTGAATAAGTATTGTTAAAGTTTTGTACAAATTCTTAAAAGAACCCTGCCAAAAAATAACAACCAAAGCAGCAAATAATGAATGTAAAACCGATCAGATGTTATCAACTAACGCTCATTTTAATTGGAAATATAAACATCATTGAATCAACATCGTTTTCTGCAAATTTTTAATGAAATATTAATTTAATAAAACTTGAGATATATTATATGAACAGTAGTAGTTATTGTTGAATCTTGATTTACTCTATGACAACAACCGATATCTTTTTGAAATTAATTTATACCACCAAAACATTCGAGCAAAAACTCATTCCATAATAGGAGTAGTCAATACATGAGAAACATCCACAAAGACAACACCTGTTAAATTTACAATTCAACTTTGCCAAGATGCCAGAAAGGGAACAGCTAAATTAAAGAAAAAACTGTTTCGATACAGAACATAATGTGTTATGATATATATGAATACATAAACTCTCTCATACAGACGTACAAACATATAGGCAAGTACACACACTCCACACACAAACACACACACACACACACACACATATACACACACGCATACATTATGAATTAAAAACTCGAAGCACGTACATAAAGCAGAAAACGCAACAATTCCAAAGCAGTTACATAGTACCAGTAGCAGTTACATTAGAGTTGTAGCAGAAGTAGTAATAGCAGTAATAGTAGTAGCAGCAAAAAAGATGCGTTTATAATAATTTAAACAGTGTGAGAAAATAGTTAAAACTGTAATATTATTAAATTAGTGTCATTTTTATATATTAATAATAACATATTTTTTCAATAATTATTTTCGCTATGTATTTTTAGTGGTAGCAGCAGCAGCAATAGTAGCAGCAGAGGTAGGAGTAGTATTTCTATTTGTATTTCTATTATAAATATTATTGTAAAAATAACAACAAATACTGCATCGGTTGTAATCGAAACGACAGCACAGTGGTTGCACTGTGTTTGTATAAAGATGAATTACAGAACGAAAGTTTATCGTGATTTTATGGACGAGTTACGAGCTGGTGTGGTACTATTTCATTAAATGCTCGATGCAAGTGGGATAGCTGGCAAGCTAGCTGGCAGACAGTCGCACGAATAAACAAATACTATCCAATGAAATTTATACTGGGCGTCTGCATTCAACTGCAGTATTTTAATGGCGGGAGCTATATTTAACGCCGTGTTAACGTTGATGTTATCGTCTTTTGTTGTTATTATTATTACCCCTGTGATTGCTGTTGTCGTTGTTATAACAATTGTGACTGTCGCAAATGTTTATGCTACGTGGAATTATTTTCATTTCATTTTCATAAAAAAGTTGTTTTATCGTCTCAGAAATAAACTGCATATCATGTGAGATGACTTGAAAAGCAATTTATACAAACATTATTTACAAAAATAAAAAAAAAACTTCAATCAATCAACCAAATACATTTAATAGTCCAAATTGTTGAGAAACGATCGAGTTTTTACAATGTTAAAAATAACACTTTAACATTAATATCAATCAAGCAAACTTTGACATGAATCCAAGCAATATGTTGAACCAAGTAATTTAGAAAATTTTTGACAAGATTTCTAAACGTTTCATGATAGAATGGATAATTCCTGAAAATAACATTTGTTGTATTTTGAGAGCAGAGAACACTTGCATTAATTAACATTCATAAATCAATTACAAAAATTTTTAACAAAATTTTTAATTCATTGTAATTAACTATAAATATTTTTGAGAAAAAGAAAATTATGAAAATATTTATAAATTATTTTTTTTATTTTAATAGTCAAAATTAAATCATTTTTCTCTGAATTTTGATTGATGGGATTTTGAAATATGGGCAGCATTGATAAGAAACTTCTCAGTTGGCAGCATCATCACCAGCTGACTCATGAACGTCCATTCAATGACTGACTCCTCCAACTTTCCATCCACATTTTATCACATTCTGGAAAAAATTCATCACGATACATGAAAAAAATAATTTATTTTTGATTGTTAATCTAGTTTGGTTAGTAATTTTTGAAGTATCATGAATACTATTAAGTGAATATGCTATCTGCATTACGAAATTTTATTTTCAATAGTTTGCGTAACTGAACTTTTGACCAAAATGAACTTTTAAAAATTTCATTTAAAATATCAAGTTTTTAATTTAGCCAATTAAATTCTTGAACTTTGAGATCGAAGAGAAAAATAATTCCAGAAGTCGTTAAAGGAGTCATGCTTTCTGAAATGAGGGATTTTCAACGCTGGGTGACGACTGTATTAAAAGTGCAATCGCGCTATTTCAATTTTTATGTGTGTGCCAATCTTTCTCTCTCTCTCTCTCTCTCTCCTCCCTCTCTCTCTTTCCTCTCTCTCTTTCCTCTCTTTTTGTATCTGTTAGTCTACACTTCAGATACACACGCACACACACACATACACATAAACATTTGTTTAAGTATAATATCAATAAATACTTGCATCACCGTGTGAATGAGTATGTAGGTATGTTGCAAGCACTTAAAAGAAATTCCATGTTTCATTTTAAAGTCATAACTCACAGCGATTCGAGCTGATCAGCAAAACATTTTCTTTCAAATTAAATTACGAACAGGAAACGAATCGAAATGCGATTTACTATCGAGTTAGTAGTCCGGGTTTACTACGTCAATAGATCGCAAAGAAAAATTTAACACAAGTGAGATTGAAGTATCGTAAATACACTAAAGAAAAGTTATATGAATTATCGATACAATCTGGAGAATCTATTAACACAACACCGCATAAACACGATGTAGTTGTTTATAAACTTCTCTTAGTACGAAAAATGCATGTTAGGAACAACAAAAGCAGTCGATAATCTGCTAATAATTATAATTTTTAATTAATTTCAAGTTTTTAGTATCATTCGTTATTCAAATTAATAAAAAAATTTTGTTTAGTCTTAAAGGTCATCAAACTGTTCAGTAAAGTTTCAAATCTTTCAAATAACGTTTTTTGTTTGAAAATTTTCAGAAGGTTGATATCATAAATTTATAAATCTCATTGGACCAGTTTTGTAATTTTTTAGAAACTGATCGTCAAAGTGCTCACCTTTCTCTAATCATTTTTGTTAGGGATGAAAACGATGCTAGTAAAGTTCAATTTTAAGTTGGATCGAGTTAGTTTGAAAAAATATTTTCATTATTTATTTTTTCGTTTAGTAGTAATTGAAATAATCATATTCTAATCTCATCAGCGTTGATACTATATTTTCAACAATGTAAAAATAACATAAAAGTAAGCAACCACATCAATAAAAATATGCAACACAAATAACAGCTACACAATTCTATCAGCGAGAACAATAACTTAAATAATTTCAACGACAGCTTTCGTTCAATAGTGATGAAAGAGAAGATTTTACAATTGCTAACTCAACACAACATTTTCGTAGCCGCAACTCTACGTTTGAGTTGAAACAACTACAATTTTCACAAAAGAAAATATGAGCCATTAAATTATTGAAATTCTAGCATAGTCATGAAGCAATTTACCACGTTGACACTCATCGAATAACAAAACTGTTTAAAAAAGAGAAAAACTTCCAAGCAATACTACAAAATATGCAAGTTTTATAATTATCTAACATAGCAAACACAAAATAGTCGCTGCAGCACAATCAGCGAAACATCGTCATTGAATGACCCGCCATAAAACTGGGGAAAGAGCAAGCGCGCAAACTGCATGCAGCCAGAAGATGTATGCACATTATTATTTACCTTAAACACTGCTGCGTATGCCTCCATTGTTCATCCAATAATCCATTTTATCCTGCGACATCCATAATTGCATCCTCCTATGAAAGTTCTGTTTTTTACTATGTAGAATACGAACGTAGTTTTAAAAAATATTAAATTATTCAGGATCATAGTTTAAAGTTAAAAAGTGTTTCCAAATCGATTTATACAAATGTATGTTAAAAATCAAAATGATTACATTTGCTTCTTCTTTACAATAAACTGTTTGGTAATATTGTTCAATGTTACCTTTGTCGACACTCAATTAGACCTAGTTAACTACTTACTCTCACACACACACACACACTTTTTTTCTCTTTTTAAGTTACACACACACACACACACACACACACAGACACGCACACACACACGCAAACAAATACTTAAACACATCGTAAAACTTTTTAGATTAATTATTCCTTACAGTTGAGCTTTATTATAAAGACTCTTACATTCCAATTGACCGAAAAATATCAGCAATGGACGATTGAATTTTTACAATTTTTTACCGTGATAAAATTTAATTGTTGATGTTTTCTTATTCATGATACAAAAAGTTAACAAAAAAAAAATGTGCGGTTGTTTGCAAGACGTGTGAGTAGTTCACATTAAAAAAAGAAAATTTATTTGCACCCATGCCATTGTGCAACGATGAATTATTTTCAAAATTTTCACGTCTGAGAAAATTTTTCTGTTTTCCATTATATTAATATTTACAGTTATTTAAGGTTTGATTTTCTTTTAAAAATTCCAATCACACAAACTTGCTTTTAATTTGTCATGAAAATTATTTTTTAGAATGTAATTAATTGAAATTTTTTTTTGGTAAGTGAACCTAATTTGTTACTTGGTTTGGTAGTTTGATAGTGTTTTAGCAACGTGAAATAATACGAGTAAAAATGATACAAATTCAAATTTGTTGGGGCGCTTAGAAATATGCTCGCGTTCATCCGAAGGGACATGCATGTTCATTTTTAAATAATTGGTAACCATGTACAACTGTATTTATGTGTGCCTTTGAATTGCACGTGTACAATTATAACATTTCTCGAATTTAATTCGTGTGTTTGTTTGTTTTAGTGTTTATGTGTGTGAGCGTGAGTGTGTGTGTGTGTGTGTGTGTGTGAATGTATGTGTATGTATTCGTACGTACCTTTGTATATGCTTGAATGTATGTATAAACAGCGTGCGTATATTTACGAGTGTGCTTGCATTGCATGTACGTATAATAGAAATATACGTTGGAAGGAAGACTGCAGAGGATCGATTGAGCAGCGCCAGATTGGCAATTCATTAGACATTTCTTAATTTAAATGCTTCACTTTTTATTAGCATTACTTTATCGCTGCGATGTTCGGGTAGATTTCTTCCCTATTTTATGTTTTGTATACATTCTTTGTTCTTTTCTGCCAAGCTGTTTCGCAATTTTTATTTTTGCTGTGATGAAAATTATTTACTTTCCGAAATACACAAATAAATATTTAGGATTTTTATCTTCAACTGAAAAAATTGATTCAATGATTCGGCAAATGCTCATCAATGAAGACAACCCAACCATTCATGCAGATTGCAGACACACACGCGTGCGCACACACACACACACACACACACATGAACACTCAAACACACACACACACATACAACATACACACACACAACATACACACATGTGCACAGATCCACCAAAATTTTCCCGCCATAAAGACGCGAATTTATTGGTCGTTAAAAGCGATCACGTAACGCGTTTCTATTGTATTTCTGGACATTAGTGCTGCTAAAATTTAAACTATTAGTGTAATTGTGTTGACTAGGACAGAATTTACATTCGAAATTTTGAATGTGGAAGTGTTGAAATAATAAAGAAGAATTGAGAAGATAATAGACGGGAGAGAAAAGGAAATTAAAAGATTATAAATAGAAAAACAAAACGAAAGCAATTAATTGGAAATTTATTTTAAAAAAAACTGTTGTCGATACAAATTATGGAAAATTAAAAAAAAATATTTGAAATCAATCACATGTTTTTAATGTAATTTCATTCGGAAATGCGAATTTTGTTGATAATTATAATGAATCAAAATTTTAAAGAAATGGTTACGAAACGATGCAAACAGTCTTGAAACTTAACAAATTTAATTCCACCTAATAAAAACTTACCCAACAAAATGAAACACATCACGAAGAATAGTTATTGTAACAATTCGCGATAGATAAAAAATTTGTGTTCAAAAAGAATGGGCAGAAGATTTGCCTATCATAAAATGAATCCCATTTTAGAAAATCAGCATAATTTTTGCCTGCAGTCAAACTTTGAAAAGTATACTCATCATAACATAAAAATGTCTTTTGAAGTTTGTGTGCGTTTGATAACACGCACTTAACACACACCACACAACACACACACACGCACAGAGAGAGATAGAGAGAGCGAGAGAGAAAAAAAGCGATTTATACTCACAGACACACAAACTTGGATACACAGGCGCGCATGCGCAAGCATTTTATACAAACAATCGAAGGCATATTATTGTAAAATGAATCACATTGAAATGGCGCATGAAATGTTCTGCATTGTATTGTATTGTTGCTGGGAAGCGGACGTGAACGCACACTGAAGGGTTAGGTCGCCGGTTCACTCTTTCGCACAATCACAAAGTATTCAATTTGTTAAATACAACTAATAAAGCTAAATTATACACAAAATATTATTGTCATTCATGAGCAATATAGTTTATTTTTTTATTATTAGTGAGAAAAATGCTGCTTATAAATATCTGATGAATCTTTCATCAAAGCTTAATGTTTCATCATTATTTCATCGTAACGTCACAAAAATGTCATTACAGCTAATAAGAAAACAATGACATCAAACATCAGCACAACAACACACCATCACAACTTTGACTCGACTAGCATGCACAAACGAAGACGAAGAAGAAGAAGCGGGCAGACGATATTTTAGAAAGAAAGTTGTTAGTGAAACATCTCCAATTACAATTCTCAATCAATCACCGCAATGAATTAAGCAAGAATGCCCATCACAAAACTGTTCTTTCTCACTGCTTCATTTCTTTTGTTCTGTTTAATGAATTAGTGAGCAAACAGTCTTCAATGTGAAATCAAGCACACACGCACAAACAAACACATCCGTGAGCAGACAAGTTCAAACACGCACACGTTTCAATAATTAACAATGTTTGGGCCTTCGCGGATGGTGTGGTGTTGTAAAAACATGAATTAGTTGGGTACGAATTTAAAAATATTTTCAACTCATTTTAAGAAGAGAAACTTTTTGCAACACACTTCAAGATACATTTTAAAATTTAGAACAATTTTTTTCCTAATAAAACCAAGAAACAAATTTTCCCATTTTGCTCTTTATTTTTGAATCGTATCAAATTAAACAAACGCTAACACAAAAGACAAACAGCAACACGAAAAACAAACACAGAAGCAACAGAAAACTCAAATGAAACAATCAAAACAGAGACAAGAGACTACTGCCTTCACGAATCTTTCAACGCTTCTTGTCGTAGCAACAACATCGATCAGCAGCAACAACACTTGCAACAGCAGCACCAATCACCGCAACAGCGATTACACAACGGAACAACACTTGCAACAACAATTCAACAACAACAACAGCATCAATTTCCAATGTTTCCCAAAAGCCTAATCCTGATAACACAGGCCAATTACGGACGAATGAAGGATGGCCGATGCATCGGAGGTCAGCTGAACACGGGCTGTTCCATGGGAGTGACCACCTACCTCGACAGCCAATGTTCAGGTGACGTCATTTTCATTTGCTCATTCACATTTTTCACATAGCAGCATGATTGGTTAAATTTTTGGTTTGACTACATTTAAGTTGTGAGTGAGTTTTTGCTTTCAATTTGTGCAAATTTCATTTCTTAAAAACTTGATCCGCTACGTTCAATCCGTTCACAATTCCTTTGCCTTAATTCAATTTCGTTGTAAAAGGTTTGACGAAGTTGCTTCTTATTTGCTTTGGCATTACTTTAAATTGTTTTATCATTTGATTGTTAATCAATTTTTGTTCATTACGCTGATGTAAATGTGAATGTGTGAATTTTTTGAGTTTTGTGCCATCATTCAGATGTGAATTTTTAAATATAGACAATAATATATGGCACGAAAATAGGCGAGAGTATCACAAAATTTTTAAAGAAAGACTAAAAAATTCGTAAAAATGTTTTGAACCTTTAAAACTAAGAAAATTATAAAATAAAGCTAGAAAACAATTTTTGTCAAAGGTTAAAAAATTTGAAAGGTTAAAAAAATTGCACGAGAAAATTTGGAACTTTTAAAAAGTTACAAAAATAGAAAACGAACTTGAAAGTTGTTGAAAATATAAAATCATTTCCAATGAGTTTCTAAAATGTGTGCTGTTAATATTGCTGAGAACATGGGTGTTGAAATAATGACACTGGATAAACTTTGTCAAGAAAGAGTGGAATTTTTTAAAATTTTACAAACTCTTTTTATTTCCTAACTTTTCATATGAAATCAAACTCTAATCCCGGAGAAATAAATATAACAAATTTTTGCTATTTAACAAAATTGAAACGAACAGGCAAAGACATATGTGATATGAGTGTGAGGAACCTGGTTGACATTCATCCATGCCAGCGCGATTTCATGTCCTACCTGGAAGCCTCCTACATTTGCATCACCGGTCAGTTTACTGAATTTTTTAGATATCATTTCAATTAATTACTTACCTACTTAGTTAGTTAATTAGTTATTTATTTAATTGATCAATTAATATTTGGATGCTAAATTTAATTAGTCGATAATAACCCTTTTATTTTTATTTAAATTTAGTGTTGAAAAAATTTGAAATTAGCGATAATGGTTGCTGAAATTTAGTGTTGAAAAAATTTGAAATTAGCGATAATGGTTGCTGAAATTATTCTGGCAGAAAAAATTGTAAATGTTGAAAAAAAAATAAATTTGTTGGACTATTTTAACAAGTTTTAATTTTAAGAATAAATGATTAAAAATTGTGAAACAATTTTAAAATTAATCTTATATACTTATAAACTAACGCCATAGATGCGTCAATCCCAAATTGAAATAGAAAAATAAATGCATCTTAAATACAAACTACACATAACAAACAAAAGAATAAATAAAACAAAATAACTTTTATTCAAGGCTGAAAAAATATTTCATTGCAAAGCATTACTTATCATTTATTCAAAAACTTCGAAATAAAACTCGATATAGCTGGCACTGACCATCAATCATTATGAAAGATTATGAATAAACATTACAGAATTTTTTTTTATTTTCAAGTCATCAGAAATGTTTATATGGTAATAATTTAAAAAATTAAGCAAGAATACGCTAGTAACTTATTATAAAGAAGATAATTCGGAAAAAATTTAAATGTAAAACACTCTATCTTAACCTTTGCAAACTACCAACAATCGAATATAAATGTAAGAAAATACTAAACTACACATTCGTGAACACACACAAGTGTAAGCGACGAAAGACACACACATACACATACACAAACACACATGCATAGATAAAAATTGATATACATCTACATGTATCTACAGTAATAGTTACTCAAAGAGTAGGCAGACGGAGACTCTCATTTTATAATATAATCACATAGAAACACTGTACACACAATCCTGTGTTGTTTTTCCGTGGTATAAAAGCTTTTGTTGTGTTGCATACTTAAGGTACCACACATACAAACAACCACAAACATACAATGTATACAAACCACAGAACACACATACAAGCTAGTGCACATTCAAATGTACAAAAATATAAGCCACAAATATTACATAAAAACGTATAATAGACTTATTTGACTTATTTTCTCTCGGCAACTGAGTAGCGAGATGCACATTTGTGCACGCATGCAGTCCATAGGAAGGAAATATAACGAATGTTCCGACATGAAAGTGCACTGCAGACAGAGACATGACAATAGAAGACAATAAAAGAAAATAGAATGCAATGTAGTAGGTAGGCAGGTAATTAGAGTACATCACGCGAGATGGCTGCTACCACTGAATAAAAACTCTCCGTGCAGTCGTCGTGTCGTGTGTCGCGCGTCCTCTGCAGACTATTCCTTCTCATGTCATTCGAACTGGTGTCTTTGTTGCTGAAGTTATCACAGGAGCTGTGAAAAGAATAATGACGTTGGATGTAAAGAAAAATGTGTTTTGTTTCATTTAAATTTTGGGGAATAATTTTGTTGTTTGTGAATGTAGTTTATTGTTAGCAGATGATGGAGTGTGTTGTTGTGTTGCTGCATATAAATGTGAACTTTGTGTTCGATCGCTTTGTGTGGTTTGGTGGATCGTTCGTATCTAGTTATTGTAAATGGTTGCGTGATTTTGTGTGTGTGTGTGTGGGTGGTGTGTGGGTGGTGTGTGTGTGCGTGTATGCGTATGTGTGTGTGCGCGTGTGTTTGTTGTATGTCAGAGTAATGTTTAGTTGTGCGTTGTGTCAATAAAGGTTATTTCACTTTTGTCTGTGCAGTTTCATTGTTATGTTGTTTCATCTCTGTTAACTTATGTAAACAATTTTTCTGAAATTGTCCGCATTGTGTTTGCTTTCAGCGAATGTTTCCAATAACTTTTTGCGTGAGTGATTGTTTTGTTTTCAGCGCACAACTCATCACGTACCTTTCGTAGCAAACAAATGTCAAAAAGCTGATATAATTAATTTAAATATTCAATTCGTTTCAATGCAGATTATTATTTTGTAAAAGTTTTCACAAAAGTAAAGAAACAACGCAAGGACAATTAACTACTCGCGACCACACCTGTAGAACAATCATTGCATAAATTTCCATTTCAACAATTTCATTCACAAGCGTATCATGGCTTGCTAATAAGTTATAGACTTGGTGCTGTTTGTGATTCTTCTATTGGACTTGTTTATCTTTAATTACAATTAAGCATTGGCTCATACTTGATAAAATTCAAATTAATTTAAGAATTGACGGAACTTGAAAAATTTTGTTTTTTGTTATAGTGCATTCACTTAAATCTGCCAATGTTCACAAACCCGCTCACATTGAAATCTGAGTTCAGAGAAACATTTGCTTGGGAATAAATTAGACGTTCAGCATTAGTTTACATAAACAACATCTCACCGATTCCTTATTAACGCATTAGTTTATATAAAAAAGTTAAAAATTAATATTTAATTCAACTTTTGATTTATATGCACTGATTTAAAGTCATTAAAATGTATACAAAGACTGAGGCAGATTTACGTCAGCACGCCCAACAACGCACACGTACACGCACACTCAGAACTGCGGAAATAAAAGCCGCGTAGAGATTGCGTGTTAATGAGGCAGTATACTTTAGCGCAATAAATCAATTGTGTCAATACCAACCAGCCAAGCGACCGACAACTGCACGTCAACAAACACAACAACAACTACACGAGCGTAAATAACAACAACACGGAAATAACGACAACGATATGGAAAAACAACATTGTAGAGTGAGATAATTTAGAATAATTTCGAATGCTTTTGTTAATAATATCGTAATCGTATTCAGTAATAATGTGGTATGACGTACACTATCTGGGGAGCTAATGTGCACTGCATTATAGCGACGGGGCTTAAAAATCATATCAATATTTATAAAGAATAAATTATAGTAAAAAATATACTAGAACGAAGTATTAGAACAACGCCACATCATTTCAATAACACGTACAAATAATTAAAAAAGTAACAAAAACTGCTGATACAACAACCCCACCGACCAATACATTAATCAAAATGTGAACAGTAAGAAAAAAATACAGCACAGCCATCAATTTTCAAAATTTTTAAAGATTATTAACTGCATACTCTAATTAATTTTTCTCTTATTTGTTTTGGTTAGTTTTTTTATTCACTTAAGTGTCAGTTTTAAATTTTTTTCATTACTCCAGTTTTAATTAATAGCGCAAAATCATTGGCGTCGAAAAATTTATTGAGAGTTTCTTATGAATTTTAGGTACAGCGTCAGCTTATTTATTATTATGCACTTGGTATTTCACATTAAATAAAAATGTTAAAAAACGCAACGGAATTAAACGGATAAAAATCAAAATTTCAAAAAAAATCTTTTCATGCTCAGTGCATGACGGAGTTTTTCATTTCATCAACATTTCTTATGCTACATCTATCTCCATATCATTATCTGTCATCTATCATCATCTATCCATTATCATCATTTTTAGTCAAAATCATAAGTTGATATCATGCATGAAATCATCATAGCATTATCATGAAATTCATCATTTTATTTTTTGGTGTTGAGATAGAGCGTATTGGTAGAGCAATCGGTTGTGCTTTGTGGTGTTCTGGTTCAACTGCAAATGGAAACCATCGCCTCGCGTGAGAAGAATTGTACATAAAGATTTATTAGTTTTTTAGTTTTTTTTATTTATGTGTGTGTGAGTGTGCGTGTGTGTGTGTGAACGTTTGTGTGTTTGTGTGTATAAAAATGTTTATTGCGTTCCTCTAATTATGTTAAATATATCAATGTAATAATGAAGACCATTATCGAGTCGTACAATTTTATAATGCGTTCATTGCTAAAAAAAATGTTGGCGTTATTGTAGTTTTATTTCGTTGTTGTCATTTTGGTAGAATTGTAATGTTACTGTTGTAATTTTGTTCATGTGGTTTGGTTATGTTATTTTTGTTGCTAAGGTTGTCGTTGATGTTGTCAATTATTTGAAATGCGCTGCGATGTCGTCTCTATGTTTTAGTTGTGATAACACCGATTGGCTTATAAATAAAAAATAGTCTATTGAAAGAAATAAACATGAATATTTTTGGAAAATACGTCTGTTTCTACATTATAATTTCTACATAAACAAAAGTTTCAAAAATGTTTCAAAATTATATTGACCCGTTAACCACTGAAAAAAAATTACAAAACCTGACACTGGAACATCATTCAAGTCAGTGTCAACTCAAATGACCATTCAATCCAACTCTAATAAATCACATCTTCTGCATAATAGCACGCACACACTAATAACTCAAACATCAGGCAAACTCCAAGAAAAGAATATAGAAGAAATTATTAAATAGAGGAAAACCCGATCAATGCCAACCGAAAATATATCGATTCCTATCGATCACTTCCCATTGTCCGCAGACAATGCCAGGCATACCTCCTCCGCCGGTTACTATTAACAAAACGTAAAAACATAATTATACAGTGCTAAGATGGAAATGCTTTGGAATATTGATGACTTGCCCGATGTATGAATGGCTGCTTCTAGCTTGACTGAGCAATTGAATGTAGGAAGAACGATAAAGAATGAATGAATAAAATTTTTGTTTTATTAAAACGTCCACTTGATATGTATGTATATATATATGTATATATATATATATATATATATATATATATATATATATTTTACAATATTCTATAAATTCTACCGAATGTTAGGCGTTAATATGTTAATACGGCAAACATTCGGTAGAATTTATAGAATATTGTGAAAATTATGGTCTATTACCATCATATATATATCTATATATATTATATATCTATATATTGTATATATATCCTTCCAACATTTATATATAAATAGAGACCATATTTTATACAGTATTGTATGAATTCTACTTTGTTGAGTTCATCTTTGATAGTAACGGCTATTTCGCATCTGTTTCATTCCTCTAGTAGGCTATTCTGTGTTATTCAGGTATTTTTATCTTAGCTCTGGATAATTATGTTTTGACGTTTTGTTAATAGTAAAACAACAGTTTGATTAAATTTTCATGATGAACTAGGTTAAAAATTCTATTTTGTGTTGTGTATTCACTAAATACAAACATGTGTGGGTTGTGTATGCAGTAAATACAAACATGTATGTTGTGTATGCAGTAAGTACAAACACGTGTGTTGTGTATGCAGTGAATACAAACACATGTGTTGCGTATGCTGTGAATACAAACACTTGTGTTGTGTATGCAGTGAATACAAACACATGTGTTGTGTGTGCAGTAAATACAAACACGTGTGTTGTGTATGCAGTAAATACAAACACGTGTGTTGTGTATGCAGTAAATACAAACACGTGTGTTGTGTATGCAGTAAATACAAACACGTATGCATGTCGCACTTGAGTGTGAACGCCCCGGTCCGAATAAATAAGAAGAGGAATCGATAGATCGAATTACCGACCGACTAGCGATTGATCGATCCTGCCCTATTCGGTACGTTCAAACAGGCGAACAGAATTAATTGCCTATTACGCGAAAAGTTTATATAAACGCATTTTACGTTTTTATACTTTGTAATCAGGGACCAAATAAAATGCTATCATGCCAGTTTTCTCGTAGGAATGTACAAATTTCAAAATTAGTTCTTATCAGGAGCTGTCAAATATTTCATTTTCAATTCACCTTTCACTCAGAATGCATCTGAAAATAATGGACACTCAAAATAAAACCAACGAACGAAAACAAAAACAACAACGTTCACAAACGTGAACACGAATAAACATACGTTAACTGCATCTAAGAATAAACGCATATATAGCATTCATTGCAGCGTACAAACATACACTATACAACTGTTAACAACGAACAAACGCTTCAAATAGTAATGACAACCACAATACCAAAATGGAAGTAATCCATTGAAAAATTTAATAGAAGTCAGAAATTGTTCACGCTCATGCACCAGCAAAGGTAGTAGACAAGTTGGAAAGAAACGAGCAAACATGAAATCACGTGCTCAAACGAACAACCTGCCCGAACAACTTTTTTGCATTGCGTAGAGCTGTAAAAATAGAGTGAGTTATATGGTCTGTGGGTCAAAGGTTGGACCGACATTAGCAATAAGTAAGTAGACTGTTACAATTGATTTATACTTTTATTCGTCCCTCCCATTCACTCCTTCCATCTTTTCTTCATCTTCTCTAATCTCTTATTTGTTCGCTCCTTCATTCATTCTTTTGTTTAACAACAACCCGTTTGTTTGTTTGTTCATTTCTTGGTATGTTCGTTCGTTTGTTCGTTTGTTTGTTTGTTCAACCATTTTTTCGTTTGTTTGAATGTTTTTTTGTTTGTTTGCTAAATTTTTTTCGATGATTTAATTAATAACTCATTCGTTTGTTCTTTCATTCATTCATTCATTCATTCATTCATTCATTCGTTCGTTCGTTCGTTCGTTTGTTCGTTTGTTCGTTTTTTCATTCATTCATTCATTCATTCATTCACTCACTCACTCATTCATTCATTCATTCATTCATTCATTCATTCATTCATTCATTCATTCATTCATTCATTCATTCATTCATTCATTCATTCATTCATTCATTCATTCATTCATTCATTCATTCATTCATTCATTCATTCATTTATTCATTCATTCATTCATTCATTCATTCATTCATTCATCCATTGTGTTATTTGTTTGTCGTTAAATTTTTTTTAAATTTCCCAGAGGCCTGGCAGAAACTTTGAAATACGGCCATGACATTTGACATGTGGCTTCATATTTTTTATTTAATATTGAATGTAGTGAAGTGAACGTTTCAGAAAATAAACGCTGCTATAAATAAATGTTATTGATATAGCATACATTAACATTACACTGAAGAAAACATGAACATTGATTCACATAAACATAAATATACAATACATAGAAAAATAATAAAGACAAACGTTCGCATGTTCGTCTCAAAAAAATCCAATAATTTTAAAGCAGAAATAAATTAACTTTAACTTCTCAATATTTTTAGTTATAACAATAGACTTATTAATATAATCAAATAAAATAAAAAAACCCGATTGTTTATGACTTACTAAATAAAAAATAATGCTATTAAAACCATGAGCTCATATTATATATGTGATATAATTGATTAACATTTTGAAAATAAAAAAACAAAAAAAAAACAAAAGTTTTATTTTGTTTTGTACATGGAAATTCAATGCATTGATTTTCTAAAAATTTACACATTAAAAAGCATATAAAATTGTTTCAATAAGTAACTATATTACGACGAATGTTTTGTTAAAATAGGATTGAAATCATGTTTTTATGTTTGGATAATTCGGGGAATCTTTTTTTCCATTTCATGTCGTAGATATCATACCGCTCTTCATCCATTTCACTGGACACAAGTCATTCAAGTTAATTGTAATTTATTGGTTTCGATCTTGAAGCGCAAAACTAATTTTGAGATTTTGGTGACGACATTATAAGTTCAAGAGCTACATTTCAATTTCTATAAAACTTCATGCAAAATATAAAACTAAAATCCTCAGTGTAATTTTACTTTTTGAAATCAACCCTACACTGAACCATCTTCTCTCACCGCTGCCCAACAGCCTACGTCGCCAGAGACCACCCCATCTGCCCAGCTGACAGGAAGGTCACCTTCAACGCAACCACTCCTGGGAAGCTGCTCATCGAATTTCCGTCGTCATCATCATCGTTTGTGTCATCATCGTCGTCATCATCTTCCACGTCGATTTCATACTTGGATCAGGTGGCGGTAGGGACAAAGGACTGTCCGTGGAATGTTTGGGTGCAACCTGGGCAGAAGATTCAGTTGAAGGTCTGTTTGCACAACTTTTGTGCTCTTACTATTTTTTTTCATTTATTTTTATAAATTCAAAATAATTGTGATGCTTTGCCTGGACATATAAAACTATTCACAATCTAATTATTTTTATTGGAAAAGTGAAATTTATAAAAAAAATGAAAACTGCATATGAAAAGATATCTATGTAAAAAATCTGAAAATTTGTCAACATAATACTAATATTGTTTTCAAATATTTCATTAAAACAAACAAACAGTCCACACCAAAACAAATCAGAATTTTTTCAGAACAATAGAAAAGAATGTCAGAATCAAAAAGCGATTAAATTTTTCAATTGTTTCGAAGCAAACAACACGCCAGCGAAAACATTCGACGAAACATAATTGAACAATGCAATGCTAATTAAAAGCCCAATCACCAACCGGTGAAAACATTCGCACATTATAAAATTTGAATTTCTTCCATCCGTTCGTCTCCAGATCCTAGTCATAGGTGACGATAACATCCAGCCAACCCATTACGACGAGGCAGTAACGTGTTCCGCCATGTTTGTCATCGATGAGATCACTTCCGGCAGACAGGCGGAAGTACACGCCTGCGTTGGGAAAAAGCGCGAGAGAATTCTCTACACGTCATCCTCGCACGAAATCTCGTTCCACCTCATCGACTCAAACGATTTCGTTTTGGGACTGGACGAATCTGTCGTTGATGACGTCATGGTGATGGGCGGAGGAATAGGGATGGGAGAGTATTCGAAAGAAACTAGTCAGGATGGTGAGCTTGGTGAGATGATGAAGAAGAGGAAGAGGTCTTTCATGAAGTTCATCATCACTTACGAAGGTTGCAAATTTAAAAAAAAGTAATATTTTAGTGAGTATTACAGATCAACAACAGATAATTATTTTAATAATTACGTTTTAGGGGCAAATGCTTTTGTAACAAATTAATTTAGTCTATAGCAAACACTTTCCGATTTTACAAAAACTTTAATGCAAAAAAAATTTAAAAGAAATTCTAAAAATTTTTCAACACAAAGAATAATAATTTAAATAATCAACTAAATTTGTATTAAAAAATTAAACTAACAATCTTCCACCAACCTATTCCTGCACATATAGCCATTGGATGCCCAGACATCAACATACCACACGGCACTTGGACCCGAAGAACGCAAGATACAGTGATGATCAGGTGTGTGTGTGTATGTGTGTGTGCACCGTATGTGATCATAGTCATTTACGTAATACTATAATACAGAAAATAAATCATTTTCAGTATTACAGTATTAATTTATTATACTGACTTTATAAATGTACAACAAAGTTTTCAACCAAACAGATGCAACGATTCAACTGTTACGTGGTACCTCACCTGCCAATCACCGAAATGGATTGGTGATGTTGGGAACTGCACAGATAGTTAGTCAAAAATTAAGTCAATTAACATAATAAATGATAATTTATTCGAAGACATTTTTGGCTAATTAATAAATAATAATCAATTTCACTATTGCGTTAGCTTATTTGACAAACAAGATAACATATTTTGTAATAATGTTGAGTGATTGATCAATATTAGTGTTAAGATTTATTTATTTATAAAAATAAAAACATTTTTTTATCGTTAAGTAAATCAATACTAGAACTATGAAGAAAGTTTCCAATGTAGCAACTTGTTTGAAAAAATATGCATCAACCGCTGTTAGAACCCCGTGTACGCCAAGCTGCACTTGCGCTCTCATAACTTTCTCTAGCACCGCGAGGCAAATCCATAACTTGATTGGACTGTAAAATTAAAGATTTCATGATGATGTGCTGATTTCATGATGATTTTTAGTTTATTGATTTGCCAGTGTGCAATGATGATGGAGTTTTTTTTTAACAGTTCAATTTTCAATTCGATAAGGTGTTCATTCAGCAAATACATTGGAGTTGTTTATAATGTTGATTGCTGTTTTGAAATATTAAAGAAGTTTATTATTTTAGTTTGGTCTTGTAGTTTTAGATGCTGCTATGAGCATGACATGATTCAGATTAATTCAAATTTCGTTTTGAAACTGTTCAGAGTAGTGATTAAAATACGACACTGAATGTTGTACATGGAATCTTTATATCTTTAAGTTGCTTATTAATTCATAGTGAATTATTCTTATTTATATACAATTAAGAGACAAGTATTTTAAAATAATGTTTTGCTAATTTTAATTAGATAATTGCATATATATACATATATATATATATATATATATACATATATATATATATATATATATATATATATATATATATATATATATATATATATATATATATATATAAAGTATAGGTAGTTGAATTAATAATAGAAATTATTCTCTTATATTTTCTTTATATTTTCTTTTGTAATTGAACGAATGAATAAATTAATATTTAAATAAATAACTAAATTAATAATTTATCAGAGAGTAGTCACGTGATGAGAGAATTTGAGTCGTGGTGGACGAGTGGAGGCATCTTTCCAACCATAGGTGGCCTTTCATTTATTCATCCAGTCATCTATTCATTCACTTACTTCTTCACTCACTCACTCACACACTAACTCACCCACCTATTTATTCATTATTCAATCACTAACTAAATCATTCACTCATTTAATCACTCACTCACTCACTCACTCACTCACTCACTCACTCACTCACTCACTCACTCACTCACTCACTCACTCACTCACTCACTCACTCACTCACTCACTCATTCATTTATTCATTCATTCATTCAATCATTTTATTAATGTGAAAAAATAATTATAAATGTTATTAGAAAATCATAATTATAATCAAATAACATTCCAATTTGTTTCTATGGAAAAAAATAGTCAAATGAATGTTTTTTATTAATCATCTTGTCACTTGTCACTTTATTCTTCTTTGCCGTAACTTTTTTTTAATATTCAGCTCTCTCCCTATCCCTCCGTTTCCCAAAATATAATTTTTCTACTATTGTATTCCCATTTTTATTATCTTTTATTGTATTTCTATCAATATTATCAATATTTTTTATATTATTTTTCTTCTTTAACTCTATTCTTTCTTGGTATTTTTCTGTCTTTTTGACTATTTTGAAATTTTTTCCCTTTTAATTATTCCCTCTTTCTTCTATTTCAATTTATCGGTTTTAAACTTTCATTATTTGAATTATTATTGATTCAATTCGCAATGTTTTGTAAAATTTTAAATCTGAAATTCTGATGGAATTCGATTAAAAAAATTTTCATGAATGAACTTTCGACTACTTATATGGTCATTTCAACTTTAAGAAATCTCATATTACATATTCTTCACATTAAATCTCATACATATTACATAGAGAATGAAGGCTTCAGATGTAATAAGCGCATTTTTGCTCTTGAATTAAAATATTTCTAAAACTTTCCATCCAAAAATTTCAAAATACAAACCGCGAATGTTTAATCATAGCTAAATATATATTTTGTTGGTGCAAAAAGTGAACGACGCACACTCCTTCACTAAGTTTATATGATATCTTCTAACATTTAGATTACCCTTTTACGTTATTATCATAAATACGTAGGATCATAATTTATTTGTTAGACTAACACAAACACATATAAGACCATAAGGACGCAGGCACACTTGTATATAATACGTATATAACGTCACATGCTTAAATTATTAAGTGTTTACACAGGTGCATCTAAAGATAATTTCACAATCACATACCTACACGCATATAAACAAAGACACTCACAGAGCCAGCACAATCTCACTCATCGTCGTAATTAGATCAGTTGGAATCTTTTTCTTGCTCGTGCCTCTTGTCAATTGGTTTAACCTCGCATACTTGCTGATTTAAAGGCGTTATTTCCCTGCCAGAATGTGTGGCACTTGCTGTTTATATTAGTGTCTTGCGCTGAAAAGATTGTATTGTAATATGTCCGGTATCTCGTTTTCTATTGCAATAAATTGAATGTAAAATAAATTGTTTTTATATTGTCACAGATTTTTACTTTTTCAAACTTAAACTGAAATTGAATATAGTTAATTGCTTAAATATGTAAATAAATTATTTGATTAGACGAAATAAACTATATGTATATTTATGTAACTATATGTACATATATATTTCAACAAAACATTGAATGATTGAACTGTTTGAACGACGAAGGCATACTGCTGGCGGTCTTGTTGGGCATAGGACTTGGAGTCATGATCGGAATGTTCCTCCTCCTTCTTGTTCACTGCATTCGAAGAAGGTGGTTTCGCTATTGTCATTTTATTCAATTTCAGAATTTTTTCTAAACAATTTTCATTTGAATTAACATTTTAACTAAAAAAATCATCAACAACAAACACAACCACAGATCAAACATAGCCAGCAAGCACGTGATGCAAAGCCTGATGACATCATCAAGCCAGAAAAACAATGATTTTGACCTGGAACACGACCGAGTTATGTATGGCTGCCTTTCTGTGATTGAACCTCGAAACAGCAACATCCCCATCACTACCAACAACAACAATTTAGTTGCTAACAATCTGAATAATAACATTAGTGACGTCAGCATGAACGATAATAATTGTTTTTCGATGACCTCGTCATTAATTGTTCCACCTCCTCCGCAATCTATTTCCGGTGATTCTCTATTTCCACTTTCAACCGGAAGTGCAAGATTGAATGAACAGCAGCAGCAACAACAACAAAAACAACAACACATAACAGCCTTAGCTTATGCAGTTGGATCGGTTGATAGAAGAAGCATGCCGAAGACAGTGCAGAAGTACGCACAACCTCCATTCAATTACGACGACTGCTGTCCAACTTGCATTGCACACAACATGGAAGACGAACAAATCATTGCCAACAACCAACTCAACAACACACTGGTCAAAAGACAACATCTGCAACAGCAGCAACAGCAGCAGCAACAACAGCAACAACAACAACAGCGAAGCAAGAGCACCACTCCTCAATACGAACCTATGGCCTATCCACTTGGTTTGAGAACCCCTGAAAGTTTTTACGGCCTGCAACTACAAAATAACGCGCAACAACAACAACAGAAAACACAACAACTGCAACAAAGACAGCACAGCAACAATGTTGCAAACAATGCTCAACAAACAATCAACAACGTTGAGAACAAGAGACTGCTGAACAATATGAACAGGCATTTTCAAGATGTCTACAAAACTTCAATGCATCTTCAGGATGAACAGAACATCAAGATTGTTTGAGTCTTTTACTAATTATTACTTACTTAATGAATAAATAAATAATTATTGAGTGATTGACCAAATAAATGAATGAATGAATGAATTGATTGACTAAATAGAAAAAAAAATTAACAAATATTACATAAATATATAAAATTATATGTTATCATAGACTAAATAAAATTTTTTTATTGGAATAATAAACTTTTCTTTATCATTTAGGACTTGCCGCATACTACTAACAAACACATTCAATGTATTTTATTTTTGTTTCAAAGTGTAATTAGTACGAAACATGTTTTGGTTAATTCTGCCGATTAAATTGTTTTTTTTATACCGAAATTTTTATAATGATCAAAGTTTGGTTTAACCAGAACGAAAATTAATTATGATTAACGCGCATACACGTGTGTGTGTGTGTGTGTGTGTGTGTGTGTGTGTGTGTGTGTGTGTGTGTGTGTGTGTGTGTGTGTGGTACATGAACTCTTGTAATGTTGAAAATGTACGAATTAATTAATAGTAATGTTAAATCAGAGCGACTGAAAATTAACGAAAGTAAAAGTTCACAATTCAAATTAATTTAAAAATAAAATATTGTTAATCCATCAAATACGACTGAGTAAAATAAGATATCATCAAAAAACATTGACTTCATTTAAAATGAACGATTCAAAGAAACAAACTGGTATGTAGGACTCTTAAAGTAGCACGTCACGATATGACTCAAACAACCAACCTTAAGTTATCGACACAACAACAATTCCTTCAAAGAAGGTTTTCACAGGATTTTGACATCCTTCTCCTAAACGAACTTCTTCTTATCCTCGCCCAAATACTCTCTCTGGGACTTCCTCCCTGAACTACACTTCCTTGCTGCCTCTCTCCTGGAAAGTCTCCGGAATGATTTCGCTGATTTCTGCCCGGTGGTCTCAAACTCGAGGCCCTTCGACTTCTGGCTATGTGACCTTTCTTCAGTTGGGCCATGAGTTCTAGGAGCAGTTCGTCGATCTGGTGATTGATCATGACTGATATGTTCATGAATACGCATCGGCGCATCTCTGCTGCCAGTTCTCCCTCTGACGAGTTGAATTGAAATAATGAAATTGTTAAACTATTAACTTTTTATTAAAATATATTCAACTAATAATTCTATTTGGCATAATTGCAAATAATGTTAATTTTAAAATAGTTTACAGTTTAGTTGTATAGGAAAATTGCTTTAAAATGTTATTCATCAATTCTTAAATTGATGAATAAATATAAAAAATAAATTCATCAACGGTAACTAAAATAAATTTTAATGACGTTAATATTTTGATTCATCGCTGTATGAAAATATAAAATTTACGAGTTGTTGTAATGGCGGTTAAATAGCGTTTGAATATTTCAAAATATAAGAATATCGGTTGAAAAAAGTTAATGTTAACGGACACATTTTAATGTGGATAACTTTAAAATGTGAAATTTATAATCAAATCAGCTTGCATTTAAAACTTTGCCTTGATTTATAATCGTAATAACATGATCGGATGATGTTTCAAAACGCGTGGCGAGAGACGTTCGACATTTAGAAAGAGGATGGATAGTAATAATTAATTGATGAAAAGACTTTATTACGGCTTACCTTATATCTATTCAAATTTATATAATTATATGTTATATGATATTTCATTTATAGATTATTATTTTATTATTATTAGATATTATTATAAATTATTATATCATAAATATTATTATTTCATTTGTTGTATATCAATTTTCTATATAATTGTAAAGTTTGCGAAAGTTCTGTGCTGCAATCTCATTAGCTATTTTCATATTTTTACATCCAGCTACAAAATTAACTTCTATTTAATATAATTTTTTTTTCAAACATGTATTAATTAAATCTAACCCCATTAAGTTTTAGCATTGTGAGATATCAATTAATGTGATTGTTATATTCTACAGAATAATGATTCCTTTAGAAATTAATTATTTAAAATCTCTTTTCGATGTCCCGTTACTGTTGCAGCCAAGTGAAAATATTTTCTATACACCGAAAGACATTTCTTCCTCCACACCTTTTAAAACTATGACTGTGAAGATAAGAGTATGGATAGTGCTCGAGAGTCGTAAAAACGTATCATGCGACAAATATGAAGAATGTTATGTTCCGCACGTTGTACAAGCCATGAACATTTGGTGTCAGACTTTCAAAATATTTTTGTTGCTTGCGGAATTGTGCAACGAGTTGTCAATGTGACGGATTGAGAAACTCCAAGAGAGTTTTTGACAAAATTTGTCTATTAATGTTAGTGTATATATATATATATATATATATATATATATATATATATACAAAATTTGTGAAAATATGTAAAAAAAATAATTAGAGAGTTTTTGACAGAATTTGTCTATTAATGTTAGTGTGTATATATATATATATATATATATATATATAAATATATATATATATATATACAAAATTTGTGAAAATATGTAAAAAAAATAATTAGAGAGTTTTTGACAGAATTTGTCTATTAATGTTAGTGTATATATATATATATATATATATATATATATATATATATATATATATATATATATATATATGTGAAAATATGTAAAAAAAATAATTAAAAGAATATCATTTACACAGAGAAAATATTATCAGCGTAAAGTCATTTTTCGTTCATGCGTTCACAGTGAAAAAAAGCGTTAAAAAATTTTATTCCATGATAAGTTTGACTGTAAAACTGTTTCAAACAAATGTTTTGTAAAAATGTTCCAAGTAACATATGTTACAATACAACAGTGGTTTCAAGTAAATGAGAATGTGTGCTTACAGTACACGTGAGATGTGCATGAGTGCATGTGTGAATACGGAGTAGAGTGGAGTGAAAGCATTCGCATTATTGAAAAAGCTTCATTTAACTGTAGTGGCATTCCTCGGTAGGTCAGATTTATGTATTTTAGAGCTTGAAAATAAAAGTAAAAAATGAACTTCGCATGTAGCATCTGCGGTAAGTTTTTCAAGTATATCAGAATATAACTTTACGTGAGCATGTAATTTGATTATACCAAACTGCATGACGTAACGAAGCATTTGAGATAACCTGCAAAATATGTATGTAACAATTACTTTATTGTTACAAAAAATTTTTTTCGTAATCTCGTGTGGATGTTTGTTTCTTCTGTTTTAGCATTAAAATTTGCATCCTAAATCTTTCACCATTAACATGCTGTTCAATTTTTTTAGAAAAAAACAATTTTCCAGAAGTAAAAAGATATTTAATTCAACACTAACGTGAGAAAGAAGTTTTCAATAAAAATAAAATGAACGTGACTAAAAACAAATTCGGGATAGAAGTTCATTTTCAATCATTTACAAATCTAACTAGACAATTCAATATAATAAAAAAATTATGCACGAAGCTGAATCTACCAATAATTTTTTTGTAGATGTTCAACTTATTTATTTTCTTTATTCATTACTATCATTAAACATCTCTGCATCCAAAAACTAATAATATCATAAACCTCGATTAATGTGATGCCTATGTTATTATATAATACGGCGAAACGACATTACCAATTTAACTTCTATCGTCACAACCTATCTGTATTACCAACCAGCGTCAATGTTCTATTATTGACCATAATTTATATCATTTATTTTTATAACAACAAACATCATCGTCGTCACTGTTAGCACAAACAGCAAGCAAGACCACTCCTAAAAGTTGTTGACTGACCTCTGGTTCCGACCATCCTCGACCTCTCCATGTCGTTTTTATTTGCGACAAGGATGACCGCCCTGGTGGCAGTCAGTTCGTGGTTGAGGATGAGGTCCATGTACTCAAGGGCCCTATCGAATGATCGCCTGTCTGTTATGCTGTACAGTACAAGGAAGCAGTTGAACTCCGCATGTCCGAACCATCGCGAATTCTCCTTCAAACGTTTCATTGAAAATAAATTGAAAATTATGTTCATTTCATTAACGGCTGGAAAATTTGTCTAAGCGTTTAATGAAGAAAATAGTAACTTATCGATTAAATTAAAAGAATGGAATAGTTATTTATTTATTTATTTTGAAGTAACGCAGCCAAAGCAATTAATTATTCAGGCACAGTTTTATTGAGAATTACAATGCGTCAAGTTTTTTTTTTTTTCAAAAAAGCAAGTGTGTACAAAAATACCGCCATGCGTGTATGAAGATAAAAAACGTTTTGTTTATCTGAATCAAAGTGAAGATTTTTTAAGAAATGAATTTGTTCTCAAGGTTGATAATTACATAAGAGCATACATGAAATACAAGAAGTCAAGAACACACAAATGTAAGAACATATATGACAAACAAGAACATACATATGTGAGAACATACATGACATACAAGAGCACACAAATGTAAGAACATACATGACTATCTACTGACCCCGGTATACGGAAAGTCGTAGAATTCTAGGTGAGCTGAATCAGACGGTAGGTGGATGATGACGTTTTCCTTAAGCGGATCGTCTGAAGTAGAGGTGGATTCTGATGTGGTTGTTGCATTTGCAAACATTTCCGTTCACATTCATATGAAGTAAAAAGTAAAATAAAAATTTATGAAACCACAAACATCATTCTGAATAAAAAAATTATCTATAGGGTGTGATATATAATCATAAAATGAAATTCAGATTATAGTAAAGATGTTAACTCATGCAATGAAAAAATGATTTTGAAGGAAATTTCTACCAAATTTTATTACGACGCAAGCATTTTTTATTTAGGATTTTGTGGCTCTAAAATGAAATTGTTTCTCCAAAATGTTCCATAACCTTGTGTTTTTATTTTTTTTACAATTTAAATCTTTTTTATAAATTACTACTTGATGTTTTATAAATATGTTTTCACTGAAATCATTAAACCCACAATATTTTTGCAATGATTATCAGATGAAATTTAAAAAAAAATGGTGTACAAGAATCCCAAATAAGAAATGAATACACCACTCACATATATCATTTTTATGTCAAGCCTTTTTTTTATCTTTGGTTTTCGTCTCATCAATTTCCCAACAGCAAAATTTTACGATGGCATCAATTGCATTCATAACGACGATCAGTCAGCGTATTTTTTAAATGCATTAGTTTCGTGACTAGACAACTCAATAAATTTTCATTCGCTTAGATGCACCAACATTAATTACATTATTCATACTTGTTTATTTATTTTTTTATATATATTTATATTTTTCTAAATTCGAACAAATAAGATTGTTAGTTCATCAAAATGAATGTGCCTACTACTAGATAAATGTTCCTTGGTGAAAAATTGTAGGTGGTTGTGGCGGTCATTGTTTAGTGGTCTCCTGTTTATGTGCCTTGCTATTCAAATGCACAGACGCACTGAAATATGTGCTTAGCTTTCTACATTTTTTTCTTATTTGCCATCTTTAAAAAGAAATAGAAAAAAAATTTAGGCACAAAAATAAAAGAATGAGTCATGTGTGCAAAAATGACTTGAAATTAACTTTTTCTCATTTAAAGATCTTGGAAAACGGACGTAACTTTTTAAATGACGGTTTTTAGTTTTTCGAAATTCAACTGTTCTAAATACAAATATACACTATTCAAACTTTTGAAAAACATTCAATTTTTTTTATTTACCAAAATATATTTCATCAGATATATAGCCAGTGCCAATATTTCCCATAACTAATAAAAAACATTTCTATTCCTTTTTTCTGGGCCCGATGTAATGTGCACACTGCACGGCGTCAGATATTCATCTACGGCTTTCCATAAATCATCGTCGACATCATCGTTAACAATTTCTACAACTCGATAAAAGTTTGTGGGCATCGGTGAAGCGAGACCTTATCGCGACCGCTTCCATTTATCATCCTTTTCATCTTTCCAAATTAACAACATTCATTTTTTTTATTTCCAGCTAGATGTTTATATCTATATCAAGTGTTATAGTGCTAGAAGTACTAACAAACAAAAAAAACAGATTAAATTATTTACCGAGTTGATTTTTTGATCTGAGTTTTTTTAGTTTTTGCCAGCAAAACTATTTTCTGGATCAAGATTTTCATGACAAAATAATCATTAAAAAAATGTATTTAAAGAAGCTGTTTAAGGTTATATCAGCTTTAAATCATCACTCATATTTCTTGTCAAGTTTTCAACGTCACCATTCTTGTCATCAGTATCTTTTTTTTGGTTATTTTCACAATCATCTTCACTAACATAACCATTTTTTAATATTTATTTGTCATCTTTGGCGTCACATCTAAATAACGGCGAATGCTAGCAGGAAAAAATTAATTAGGCTTATCCTGTTTGGAAGCACTGGAAAGGAAAAAAGGTCATTCGATAATTTTTATGAAATGCTGTGGGAGAACATGTGAAAAATAAATTCTTTTGAACAACAAAACAAATAAGTTGTTGAAAACATTTTCTTTGAAGGTATTTGAAAAAAATTAATTAAACATATTTGTAATATATAAATCATAATCATTTTAATCATTTTTTAAAAATTAATTTGAAAAGATTTTTATTTTTGATAATTTTATGATATATTTTTATTTTTGGTCTGAGTTTTTGAGAGCTGTTGAAAAACATCTCCAAAACCAAACATCCGATTACATTTGAATTCCATCCAACCAAAGATATTTAAGGTATTTGTAGTGAATAAAAAGTATAGAACGGCGTACGGTAATATATCGGTAGCTAATAAGATGTGAAGCTATGGTTCTTAGGAATGCAGTATCTTCTGTAACACCACAGTTACCAGACTGTGATAAACGAGATACTAATTTATGCCTACCGACCGTGCACGCTCTAAACATATGAAGCACAGTCTAAGAAAGACAATAAATATTTTATGTACGAGCAGTTTTGGAGAATTTTTGGCACTGTTTTTGGAAGTTTCATTTACATTCAAATAGCACCATGCACTTCATTGTTATCATTCTTTATTCGAATTTTTGGCTATGCGCAGAAGCAATTGTGATCTATCTTTCAATTAGTGAATACCGTGAAGAGTTACTGAAAAAGCAAAATTTATTCAGTAAGAATGTTTGAGTTGCAGGCTGATTGGGTTATTAAATGATTGACCATTTATGACGCAGTCGTTACGATACGTCAAATAAAAAAATTACAAATTAGTTGACAATGATAAAAAACCTTGATATACTAAAGTTTTAAATTAAGTATCAAATAATATTCCTTTAAAATTACTACTATAAACTTAACAAATATTTAATATCAATCAATATCAATACTAAATAAATAAAAATTTCACTTTATGTTATTAAACAAACAAATAAAAAACCACGAATATTTATTAAATTGAATAATGAGACTTACCAAAACTGCTATTTTGTTGAGTTATGGAATCAGATGTGATGAACTGTTGAAGCAATCCGGACTTGCCGACTCCAGGTCCTCCCAAAATGACCACTTTGTAAGACGGAAGATCATCCGCTCCACCGGACTCAGAATGGTGAATGTGGTCAGATTGCTGGGAAGAACAAATGCCAGTTAGCAAATCTTTAGCGCCACTAGTGAACAAAGCTTTGAAACTGCTTTTACGACGTCTGCTGCCAGAGGCGTCTTGCCACGATTGTTGCCTGTTTTTGGTACTTATAAGGGGTATTTCTGCCCTGGGACCAATCATCGTGGCCTGAGATGGCTGTCCGTCGGCAGTTGCTTTGGGGTCGTTGTTTGTTACTAAAATAACTTCGTCGTCACCTTCGTAGCAGATTTCATTTTGTCGGATTGAGAATGAACGTCGTCGACAAACGTTGACAGTCTGTGAAGGGCCGATTTGTAAGGTCGGAATGGGTTGAATGGACTGAAGACGGTTGCGAGGCAAATGGCTAATTTTGTTGTTTTGTTCAGTTGTAATAGGCACTTGAGTAGTTGAGAAAGTTGTTGTTGCGGTGGCATCCGATGCAGTTGCTACTGTTACGGAAATTGTGGGTGGTGGCGCGTGAACATTTGTTATAACGAGCTGATTGAAGTGAAGCATGTTAGGGTCGACAACATTCACCAGAGCTGTAAGTATTTGTGCATCTCTTAAGAGTCTGTCGTTCATGGTGGCTTCTGAATGTCGTCTGTAGTCGGAAAGATTTCCTCTGTTAGGTTCTGCCAAAGTAGAATTTGTTGTATTCACTTGGTAAGTTTTGTTGTAATCGTGGAGGTAGCGAATGATTGTTCTATCGTCTGTATTTTTTCGATGAACTAAACTTTTACTGCGGTGGTGTCGTTGTTGAGGCTGCTGTTGCTGCTGCTGACTACCGTAACTGTTTGGGTCAGGCGGACATAAAAAATTTTTTTTGACAGCCGTTGACGAGACGTCATTTTTTGTTTTGTTTTTATTCTTTGAAAGGATTTTCTTTTTGCGGCTTTTATTAGCATTGGAAGTAACACTAACACTAGCTTCCACATCAGCTGAAATCATTTCAATTTCTTCTCGTCTCGTGCGTTCAAATTCTTTTTTCAAAACTCCGAAAAGACTTCCGCCGCTGTCCGCTCTTGCCTTCATTTCATCAAATGGATCCATCTGTCTCAAATTCCTGAAAATTCGATCGCGTTCCTCTTTCAGCGTAGGATCGTCATCATCATCATCTTCCTCTCCGTTGTCCTCTTCTTCATTGTTCTCTTCAGTTGTTGCAGATATTTCGGCGGGAGAAATTTTGACCCTGACCTTATTCTTGTCATTTGACATTATAGATTTTTGATTCCTCTTACTTGATCTTAAAATTTACGTAATTTATTTCTTTGTTTATTTTCTAACGTTTGCATACAATTTTTTTTTCCATCAAAACTGCAAATTCAAAAATAGTTTAATTAATTTTTATTTCATTTCAGTGTTCAAGTGTAAAAATTTGAAAATTATTTGATCTTTTCTTACTCTAAGAAATGTATGCGACTGTCGATATTTTGAACTTCTGTGCGTTCAAGCATTAATTCAATTATTCGTACATTCGAAAGGTTAGAAACATTTGTATCTCTGGTGGGCTTGTGACCATGGAACTACCCAACAAATTTGAATTTTCATGGATAAAAAATTGAGTTTATTTTCTGGTAACTCATTTTCATTAAAATTTTTCTTAGAGTTAAATCCAAATTCATAAAAAAAACTGGAACTACAACAAACTAAATTAAAGCTAAGTTTTCGGTAACAAAATTTAGTTTAAAAAACATTTCCTTGACAAGTTAACCCATTCAAATTGTTCAATCAACAATACGGTACGGTGAACGTATTTGTGTGTAGTTCACTAATTTTATTCCATATTTTTTGTTGTCTGAGCTGTGGAATTTTTACCCAGGTCAATTTTATAGTTTTGTATGATTTCGTTTAATAAGTAATTAGCAAAAAAAAATTCGATTTGAATGTTTCGCAAATTTAAAAGCGTTTCAATGTTTCATTTAATTTAAAACCTTCATTTTAACATTGCATTACACACATTTACATTTATGAAAATTCAGTGTAAAATATTTGCTGATGATTTAACTGACATCCATCAAAAAAATTTAATTCAAGAACCGAGTGACAAGAGGAGACAATTCAACCGTACACCTGAAGACTATGAATTATTCAGTTGCCTGCCTGCAATATAAATTTCATTCCCCATCAAATTGATTGCCTCCGCAAGAATGTTTCACTGTCTTCTATTCATGCAAAAAGATTTATTTCCAATTCCATAATTTTTTCAGTCACTAATTATTTGTTGAAATGTTTTACTAAAAAAATGAAACAACAAGTGCAGTCATTTATATAAAAGTTAGTTTTAATGGGCTATTTAAATTAAAATAGATAAACTCATTTATTTAAAAAAGTTTGTCATTGCTTTGATTTTTGCAATAATGTATGTTGCTTTGGAACAAGTTTATTCAAAAGTGCACATTTTCAAATTAACATGTTAATTGATTTCAGATTAAAACTGCGATAGATCACGTTTTAAAATGTTGAAAATATTCATTAATAATATGAATGACATGAATTTAAAGAGCTCCAAGTGAAAACAATGAACAAGATTCTTTAAACGTGTGCAGTACAAATGCTCACAAGTACATTCATTCACGCAGTCGTAAAATTGCGTGTTGCACAGGCATCTTGCAAATAAGAGTCGTACATGACACACATTCTTTTTAAATTCTAATCCGGTGAAAATCTTCCTTCCCATTGTATTATGCAGAAAGGGTACTCACGCACGTGATTTTTCATCTTCGAGTAAATTTATACCAATAAAACAAGCTGAACTGGGTGATGAAAACATTTAATCGTCGGATTAAATGTTTTCATCACCCAGCAGACCGTCTGATAATGATTAAAACTAGCATTCTACACATCATCCAACCAAAGTATCAATCGTATCATGGACTTTTCTTAATATTTTCAACTAAACCCTGTTACTTTTTCATAATTTATTTACTTCAATGAGTTCAATCCAACTGAAATTTTACCAAACTGTTCATTTTATTTCAGACACACGTTTTTAAAGTAGATATTTCATGCAAAACATAAAACATGATCATTGTTTTGTTAAAACTATCCCGTCAAAATTTCCAATGAATTTTCTACTAAGTGCTAATGGATGAAATTTAGTGAGGCAATTAATGTGTAATTGTGGTTAATGCTCAGAAACGGTATGAGTGTATGTGCGTGTATGTGTGTATGTGCGTGTATGTGTGTGTATGTGTTGTGTGTGTGTGTGTGTGTGTGTGTGTGTGTGTGTGTGTGTGTGTGTGTGTGTGTGTGTGTGTGCGTGGGTGCATACATTAATATACACAAAAAGTTTCTGTGTAAAACTATTTTTGCATGTTTTACATAAATTCACTCGAACCAGAGTTTTGAATATTTGAAAATTTCAGTGAATTGAAATAAGATAATGCATGTCTTTAATAAATTTTCGATACAAGCTTTCTTGTGTGCATGCATTCATCTGCATTGCAAATAATATTTTCGAGGAATTTCAAAACTTTGTTCAGTTTCAACAAATTGATATCTATTCCGTTCATTTAGATATATATCCAACCAACAATTTTCATTTTACAATATTAGTACAAATACAAATTGTGAAGACTTATTTGTTTTTTTTTGAAAAAATATTTAAAAATAGTTGGTTCCTAAATAAAATGAATTGGAATGAAAGAGAAAAACATTTTCAAATTAAAAAAAGTAATTAAAATTATGTTGTAAAAAAAGCAATTCATTTACAAATCTCACTTAATCCTATCAAATAAAATTGGCAGCACAATTTTTGAAAAATTTCGCATTTTTATGAACATCTACAAACATGCCACGAAGTATTTTTTTTTATTCAGATATGTTAAAAAATCATGTAGGTACATAATTAAAATTTTTACATACAAGAAAGACTTTATATTTACAGAGTAAACCAAAAATATTTCAATAGAGCAAAAAATCTATTTTACAAAAATTTCATTGTTAACCAAGAAATAATTTTACACTTTCAATAATGTTTTATCTCTTGCAATTAAATATAAAGTAATATTGTATTTTTTAAAATATACAAATAAAAAAAACTTCTTTGTATAATACTGCGGTATTTTAACGTGTATACAAGACAGTTGTGAGTATATCAGCCAACAAATTAGTCGCTTGCGTGTAAACATGCAATGAATCAGAACTTGAGTCGGCTCGCAAGACCTCCGGCTCTTCAAAAAACGTGCAATTTTAACTTTTCAAATTCTACAATCGAGCCATAATGATGTGTGAGAATTTATGTGAAAATTTTTCCAACGTGTTCATGTGGGAGAATTTTGCTCTTCTATGTCTTTATGGGGCTAAGATTGATTTTTAAAATCTTACCTGATTGGTCAGTTGTATTTTTGTTACTGTGTTGTATCAATATTATATTTTTTTAATAACAGTTAGCCTGACAGCAGTGTAATTGATTAAAAATACTTTGTTAATCAAAAGTTGATGACAACTATAATATTAGTTGAATGAAAAAAAATATTTAAACAACAAGACCTTCGAATATGAACTCACCGGCGATGCCAATGAATGATGATAGAATTGATGATCCTGATAAATGACATCTCAACCATTAATTTTCTTTTCACAAATTTAAATTGGTTACTGCAATAGCAATAGGTACTAATGAAAATTTGGTTGACAAATAAATAAATATGAAGTAGATGAACCCGAAGATGATGAAAACAATGATGATGAAGAACCCCACAAAAGAAGAAAGCAGTGATGACGATGACCTCAGAGGTTTGAATCATCTTGTTGGGCACGCGTTATAAATTGAGGTTGACAGTGTTGGTGTTAAGAAGATGCTATTTATTGGGATAAGCCGGAAGAGGATGATGAGAATGAGTATGATGACGATAGAGAAAATAACAAAGGAGAAACAATGTATAGTGGAAACGAAGACGACGATAATGAAGATGATTGATGATGATGTCAAAAACGATGATGATATAAATATAAAATCTGTGATGCCAAAATGCTTCATAGCTTAAATAGCGATGGTGGTAGCGCAAGAACATAGGAAAACAATGATTAAAATTATGATTATGAACACGGGCGACGTGATAGCGAAGATGTCCAGGATTTAGTCACCACAATTTAGTCCAGGATTCAGTAAATACATACGCTTTCAAATAAAAGTATTTAAATAAGCATGATGATGAAGCTGCTATGTTGATGATGACGACGTTGATGATATCATGATAACAGAATCATAGCAGATATAGTGACAGTGATAATAACTGTTTAAACAAATTGAAACAAACGCCTTGAAAATTTGAAAAAAATTGCAGATAATATTTAAAAAAAAAATATGTAGGACATTTAACATTGCTTATGGAGATAATTTTTAATTTATTATTAACAATTATAAGATAATAAACAGGTTAACAATAATAACATTTATGTATACATGTGTGCGTGCGTGTAGCTTGTGCATGTGTGTGTGTGTGTGAGTGAGTGTTTTTGTATATGCATTTAATATTGGAGTCATTTTTTGCTAATTTTCATCAAAATGTTTTTTAAGTTTATTTCATTCAAATAACATCAAAATTTTTAAAAAAATAATAAAATACAATTTCAGCTGCATTAAAAATTAAATAACTTGAAATACTTAGGTCAAGCAAATCAAAATCTGGGTCACCAAAGGTCAACGGTTATGGGTTGCCTGCCTGTCTGGGTAGTAGTGAATATTTTATCAGGAGCACAAAATTGATTAATTGCGTACGTAATAAAGCAATTTTTCCCACAAGATAATTTCCCAGCGTGTCTATATGTGGAATAAATTTAATGATAGCTGCGAGACAATCTGCATCTTATAAGCACCTAACTGCTTGAACTCATAACATAAAGCGTTTCAATAGTACGTGCATTCTTTCAGCAAACAACTATTTTTAAATTTATTGATAATTTGGTAAGAGAAGAAAATTTTAAAAATATTAAAAACTGATTGAGTTAAATGAAATGATAAAATGCAGGGGCCTGAAAGTTTAATGGCGTTATGAATCAAACAGTTCGCAAGGTTCTGCTAATGCATGTGCACCGATGAAGGGATTTGAAAATAAAATTCTCATAAAGAATGCTGAGATTGATTTATTTCAGAAGAGAGGCAGCCACGAATGGCGGTGCTGGTGCCCATGACTAATGACTTCATTTAACGATGGCTTACACACGTCGTACAAGATTGCATTTTGCAAATTAATGACCACGACGAAGTTCAG